AGGCAGGAGCATGGTTCAGGGAGCGGGGGGTGGGGCTTGCCACCACCTGGGCTGCTGGAGTGGCGCTCTGGGGTGTTCTGGCTCCAAAAGAAGACCCCAGCCTCCAGGTGGGGCCTAGGGATCTCCTGCTTTTACAACTAATCTCCAACTGACAGATACTAGTCACCCTGGTCAATCCTAAAAGAAACCAACCCTGACCTCAGACTGGACGGCTAAGGCAGCCACAGTCTGGCTCTCGCACTGGGAAAGACAAGAATGGAAAAACGGGCTTCTAATGTCCTGGCCCCACTGGTGGACCTCCTGATGGCACTGGTATTTCTGGCCACTGTGGGATACAGAGTGTTGGACTGGATGGGCCTTTGGCCTGATCCAACATTGGCATCTCTTATGTTCTTATGTTCTCAAATACTTTGGCCACCAAATGAGAAGGGAGCACTCACTGGAGAAGACCCTGATGCTGGGAAAGATTGAAGGTCAAAGAAGACCTGGATGGCAAAGGATGAGATGGTTAGACAGTGTCATCGATGCAACTAACATGAAATTGAGCAAACTTGAGAGGACAGCGGAAGACAGGAGGGCCTGGAGTGATCTGGTCCATGGGGTCGCGAGGAGTCGGACTCGACTGTGCGACTGAACAACAACAAAAGTCAACCTGGAGAAAGTGGCTGCTTTGAAGGGTGGACTCCACGGCATTGTACTATGCTCAGACCCCTCCCCAAACCCCGCCTTCTCCTGGCTCCACCCCCAAAGTCTCCAGGTATTTTCCAACCCAGATCCAGCAACCCTAAATGGACCTAATTTCGAGCACAGCTCCTTAGGATTGCTCTGCTAGTTTAATACTATATCTACGGCTCTCATTCTTTTTAAATAACAAACTATCGCATTACTACTACGAAGGCACTCAGCAGCCCCCACCCTTCAAATCTCTGCCCCCGCCCCAAAGAGGCAGGAAGACCGCGGTGGTGGGGGGGGAGCAGAACCTAATCACGTGACGTTCGGCCGCTCTACGTCACGTGGCTGGCCTCCCGGTCGCGCAGCGCGTGACGCTCTCATTCTGCGCCCACCACGGCGGCGCTGAGGAGAAAAAGAGAGAAAGAGGGCTACCGACGGGGAGGCAGACGAGGGCTCGTAACTCGTTTTTCCCGGGCGGTGCCCGGGCCGGAACGGATAGAAAGGGTAAGGACGCTTCGGAGAAGGCGGGGAAATGGCGGGGGAGGCGCCTGCCGGTTGGAAAACGGAGCCCGGGGAAGGCGAAGGAGGGGAGTCGAGCGGGAAAGCACAGCTCCGGGCCGCGCGTGCGCAGTGCGGGGAGAGCTGGGGAATCGGAACCGCCGGGCTGGACCGCGCGTGCGCAGTTTGGGGTGGGGGAGAGAGCGGCCGCGCGGCGTTCCCTCTGCGCTCACCTTAACTCTGCGGCGCGCGCATGCGCTCCGAAAGCAGGTGGTGTTTTTTTTCCTGTGTGTAAGTTATGATGCGCTGGAACAGGCGGGGAGGGGGGTGAGTGGCGGCGCTCTTGTGTAACAGGGGGAAATCCTGGCTGCGGGAGGGTGGGGCGGCTTTTCCTGCCGGCGCTCGGCCACGTGTGGAAGAAACAGATACTAATTGCGCTGTTCTCGTCTTCCCACGCACCCCCCCCCCCCCCTTGTTGTAGACGAAGGTGGGGGGGGGGGAGAGAGGCAGAGCTCTGTCTTCTCTAAAGCCTGGAAGTAAAGAGAGAAAGTGTGGAAATGTTAGTTGCTGCTAACTGGCTTGGAGAACTATTGCTTCCTAATCGCAGTGCGGCGATCCGCATTTCCCAGAGTGTGTAGGAAAGCTCCACATGACCGAAGCACAGATGCAACCAATGCGCCCCCTAAGGTGTGGAGTCTTGTGAACAAAAATTCTACTTTGTGAGTGATTGGCATTAAAGTTGTGAGCGAGTGATTTGGCTACCGCATAAATCAGTTTGCTCCGGAGCCATCCTTCCTGAGCTAAGACTGAAATGTGTGAGCTGGAGGCTAAAAAACTCTGAGCTAGCTCACATGAACTCAGCGTAGAGGGAACTCTGGATGCAGCCCTTCCTGCCCTCTATCTCATGGTTTGCCTAAATTCAAAGAATCAGCATTGCTGTCAGATGATCATAACATAAGAACATAAGAGTAGCCAATGTTGGATCAGGCCAATGGCCCACCCAGTCCAACACTCTGTCTCACACAGGAGGTCCAGCAGTGGGGCCGGGACACTAGAAGTCCTCCCACTGTTGCCCCCCCCCTGCACCAAGAATCCAGAGCACCACTTGCCTCAGCCTGAGAGTTCCTATCTATACCTTGTGGCTAATAGCCACTGATGGACCTCTGCTCCATATGCTTAACCAATTCCCTCTTGGAGCCATCCATGCTTGTAGCTGCCGCCACCTCCTGTGGCAGTGAATTTCATGTGTCAATCACTCTTTGGGTGAAGAAGGACTTCCTTTTATCTGTTCTAACCTGACTGCTCAGCAATTTCTTCTAACCTGACTGCTCAGCAATTTCTTTACGTGCCCACCAGTTCTTGTATTGTGAGAAAAGTGCTTCTTTCTCTACCTGCTAGAGAAACTTCTAGCCTCTGTTTGAAAACTTCCAAAGAAGGGGAGCCCGCCACCTCCCAAGGAAGCCTGTCCCACTGTTTACATCGTTTTCAGATCATGGACACCTGGAGAACCATGGAAGCTCTTCTAAGCCAGCCTGGCTACATTTATCAAATCCCTTGTTGAAGCTGCTTCAGTTATTGGCCATCATTCCATCCCATGATGGCAAATTATGCATTCCATAAAGACCGATCAGTCGAAAGCATTCTTAAAACTGACTTAAGTGGTTTAAACATTGCAGGTTTGCTAGGAGAGCAAAGCCCTTTCGTGCAAAAAAGTGTGTTGATGCTCGTCAGGGATGCCATTAAAAACCATATAAAATCATGGTTTCAAATGCTGTTTGAATGTGGATCCTCGTTAGCCTTAACCACATGCTCTGAGGTAGCGAAGAAGGACATGGTCCCATTCCAGTTATGCTCACCACCTTGTGTGCCTTTCACAGCTCTGTTTACGTAAGATAGTTGGGGGGCTCAAGGCAGGACTCTTAGAATCATAGAATGTTGGAAGGGACCTTGCAGGTCATCTAGTCCAACCCCCTGCATACTTACCCAGACTTGGGTTCTGTCTTGTTTCTCCAGGAGTGCAGGACAGTTGCCAGTGGGATAATGGATGGCGAGTTCAGCTTCCCAAAAATCCATCTGTTCGTTTACTTCTGTCTGACGAAGGGAGCTTTGACTCTCAAAAGCTTGTTGGTCTCTAAGCTGCTACTGGGTTCGAATCTACCTGAGAATCTCTGATTTCATTCTTTTTCAATAAAGGAACCTTCTGGCCCTTATGGCATGTGTATTTTTATCCTTCTTTTCAGGATAAAAATTGGCTCTCAAAACAGCTCCTTGTGCATTGAAATCACAATAGAAACCATGATTGACGTTTAATACAAAATGTTTCTTTATGAGGAGGAGATTCTCAGAGTTGCTTTTAGACACAAGGAACAGATTGTCAGCTCTTTCCTCCCTTCCCTCAGGTGGCCTCAGCAAGGGCAATTGAAAGCTGGAGGGGGGGGGGTGCTGGAGCTGGGTCAAGCCCTGATGGAAGAGGAGAGGAGAAGAGATTGAATTTCTACCCCGCCCTTCACCACCTGAAGGAGTCTCAGACTGGTTTACAATTTCCTTCCCCTTCCCACAGTAGACACCCTGTAAGGTAGGTGGGGGCTGAGGGAGCTCTTTTGAGAACTGCCCTTGAGAGAACAGCTCTGAGAGAACTTGTGACTGACCCGAGGTCACACCAGCAGCTGCATGTGGAGGAGTGGGGGGATCAAACCCGGTTCTCCCAGATTAGAGTCCGCGCTCCTAACCACTACACCAAACTGTCTCTGCCTTTGGCTTGTCCTCCGTTTGATGGCCAGTTCCGTGACTCATCAAGCCCTGTAAGAGCGGTGGGAGACTCTCGGCCCTAAAATGCTGAGATTCAAGCTGAAATTGGCAGATAGGACTACAGAATGCCTTTCAGTACGTGCAGGGTATATTTGATAACCTTGGCCGGCTTTTCAATTGGGAGCTAGTCACCCGGGGGGGATCAATAAAATTGCATTAGAAATCAATAAAGATGTTCCACGGAGAGGTGGTGCTCAGCTGAGCAGGATCCAAGTGTCATGGAGTGATTATGGGTTGCTGCCAACCCTCCCTCGGACAGGCCTCCCAATTGCCAGCCCCAGTATGAACTGCAGCGTATAATCCAGGAGGTCAGCCGTGCTGGTCTGAAGCGGTAGAACAAATTTGGAGTCCAGTGGCACCTTTAAAACCAACAAAGGTTTATTCAAGGTATGAGCTTCCGTGTGCATGAATTTAAAAAGGGTGCATGCACACGAAAGCTCATACTTTGAATAAACCTTTGTTGGTCTTAAAGGTGCCACTGGACTCCAGATTTGTTCTAGCGGTGTATAATAAGACACCAAATAAGTTTAGTGTAGTGGTTAAGAGTGCAGACTCCAATCTGGGAGAACCAGGTTTGATTCCCCACTCCTCCACATGCAGCTGCTGGCGTCATCTTGGGCCAATCACAGGTTCTCTCAGAGCTGTTCTCAAGAACTCTCTCAGCCCCAACTGCCTCACAGGGTGCCTGTTGTGGGGAGGGAAGGAAACGGTAAACCGCTCTGAGACTCTGAATGAAGGGCGGGGTATAAATCCAATTTCTTCTTCTTTTCTATTTGCCTTGCTCTCCAGACTGGAGGATTCTATCTGGGGGGGGGGGCCCTCCTCGATGTGCATTTGTTTGCTAATTATTTTTCCCACATGCGCGCAGCTGTGTTCGGTCTTAAAGTCTGTGTTTGCAGCTGAGTCCTGCGGTGAAGTTCTCCGTCCTCTCTGCCACAGCAACTATAAATAGTTACACATGTAGAGCCGTAATAAAGGGAGGTGGCAATTCAGTGGCCTTGTGTCATACCCAAGATGGGCCCCGTATGGCCTGGGGGGGGGGGTTTCCCTTCTGCCCCAGTTGCAGGCAAGAGCTCAGCTCAGCTGGGGGCTGGGCACGGGATCCATAGTCATCAGCACCTGCTAAAAGGCATCATTTCAGCAGGTAGCTGTGTTGGTCTGCAGCAGGAGCAGAAAGGTTTCCAGAGTATGAGCTTCCAAGAGTCAAAACTCCCTTCATCAGGTATCGCCCATTGCACAAATAGAAGCATCCCACCACGTTTCTGTCAGTAATCAGAACACGTATAAGTTGTTTTTAGATCTCTTATTAGAAGAAGAAAAAGAGTTGGATTTATACCCACGCCCTTCACTTGGAGTCTCAGAGTGGCTTACAATTGCCTTCTCTTCCTCTCCCCACCACAGAGACCCTGGGAGGCAGGTGCGGCTGAGAGAGCTCTGAGAGAGCCGTGAGTGACCCAAGGTCACCCAGCAGGCTTCATGTGTCTCAAAGCACCTCAAAATCTCCTTCCCCTCCCCACAACAGACACCCTATGAGGCAGGTGGGGCTGACAAAGCTCTTTTGAGGATTGCCCTTGAGAGAACAGCTCCGAGAGAACTTGTGACTGTCCCAAGGTCACACCAGCAGCTGCATGTGGAGGAGTGGGGGAATCAAACCCGGTTCTCCCAGCTTAGAGACCGCGCCCCTAAACACTGCATCAAATTGGTGTGATTAATTGTCTCTCCAAATTAACGAGAATACTGCACTGGTTAAAGTGTCAAAGTAGGAGCTGGGAAACCCAGGTTCAAAACCCCATCCCTCACTGGGAGACCTTGGCGACTGTCATGAGGATAAAATGGAGGGGGGGGGGAGAACAGTGCTGTAGAGAGCAGTATAGAGCCAGTTTGGTGTAGTGGTTAAGAGCGGCAGACTCTAATCCTGAGACCCGGGTTCAGTTCCCCTCTCCTCCATGTGAAGCCAGTTGGGTGACCTTGGGTCAGTCACAAGTTCTCTCAGAGCTGTTCTCTCAAGGGCAGTCCTCGAGAGAGCTCTCTCAGCCACACCTACCTCACAGGGCGTCTGTTGAGGGGAGGGGAAGGGAAAGAAGATGGTAAGCTGCTCCTTTGGGTAGTGAAGGGCGGGGGTATAAATCCAATCTCTTCTTCTCTTCTTAATTTGAACCTTTTGGGTGGGCCTTGAAAAGGTAGTACTTGCTGCAATA